CCACTTTCCATCACCCCGCCCCCTTCTTTCTCCTTCCATCACCCCGCCCATTCTCCCTCCTTCCATCACCCCGCCCCATTCTCCCGCTTTCCATCAGCCCGCCCCATTCTCCCGCTGTCCATCACCCCGCCCCTTTCTCCCACTTTCCATCACCCCGCCCCATTCTCCCGCTTTCCATCACCCCGCCCCATTCTCCCGCTTTCCATCACCCCGCCCCATTCTCCCGCTTTCCATCACTCCGCCCCATTCTCCCGCTTTCCATCACCCCGACCCATTCTCCCAGTTTTCCATCACCCCGCCCCATTCTCCCTTCTTCCATCACCCCGCCTCATTCTCCCTCCTTCCATCACCCCGCCCCATTCTCCCGCTTTCCATCACCCCGCCCCATTCTCCCGCTTTCCATCACTTAGCCCCATTCTCCCGCTTTCCATCACCCCGCCCCATTTTTCCGCTTTCCATCACCCCGCCCCATTCTCCCGCTTTCCATCACCCTGCCCCAATCTCCCGCTTTCCATCACCCCGCCCCATTCTCCCTCCTTCCACCACCCCGCCCCATTCTCCCGCTTTCCATCACCCCCCCCAATTCTCCCGCTTTCCATCACCCCGCCCCATTCTCCCGCTTTCCATCACCCTGCCCCAATCTCCCGCTTTCCATCACCCCGCCCCATTCTCCCTCCTTCCACCACCCCGCCCCATTCTCCCGCTTTCCATCACCCCCCCCAATTCTCCCGCTTTCCATCACCCAGCCCCATTCTCCCGCTTTCCATCACCCCGCCCCATTCTCCTGCTTTCCATCACCCTGCCCCATTCTCCCGCTTTCCATCACCCCGCCCCATTCTCCCTCCTTCCATCACCCCGCCCCATTCTCCCACTTTCCATCACCCCGCCCCACTCTCCCGCTTCCCATAACCCCACCCCATTCTCCCGCTTTCCATCACCCCACCACATTTTCCCGTTTTCTATCACCCCGCCCCATTCTCCCTCCTTCCATCACCCCGCCCCATTCTCCCGCTTTCCATCACCCCGCCCCATTCTCCCGATTTCCGTCACCCGCCCCATTCTCCCGATTTCCATCACCCCGCCCCATTCTCCCGCTTTCCATCACCCCGCCCCATTCTCCCGCATTCCATCATCCCGCCCCATTCTCCCTCCTTCCATCACCCCGCCCCATTCTCCCGCTTTCCATCACTCCGCCCCATTCTCCCTCCTTCCATCACCCCGCCCCATTCTCCCTCCTTCCATCACCCCGCCCCATTCTCCCGCTTTCCATCACCCCGCCCCATTCTCCCGCTTCCCATAACCCCACCCCATTCTCCCGCTTTCCATCACCCCGCCACATTCTCCCACTTTCCATCACCCCGCCCCCTTCTCTCTCCTTCCATCACCCCGCCCCATTCTTCCTCCTTCCATCACCCCGCCCCATTCTCCCGCTTTTCATCAGCCCGCCCCATTCTCCCGCTCTCCATCACCCCTCCCCTTTCTCCCGCTTTCCATCTCCCCGCCCCATTCTCCCGCTTTCCATCACCCCGCCCCATTCTCCCGCTTTCCATCACCCCGCCCCATTCTTCCCCTTCCCATCATCCCGCCCCATTCCCCCGCTTTCCATCACCCCGCCCCCTTCTCTCTCCTTCCATCACCCCGCCCCATTCTCCCTCCTTCCATCACCCCGCCCCATTCTCTCGCTTTCCATCACCCCGCCCCGTTCTCCCGCTTTCCATCACCCCGCCCGATTCTCCCGCTTTCCATCACCCCGCCCCATTCTCCCTCCTTCCATCACCCCGCCCCATTCTCCCGCTTTCTATCACCCAGCCCCAGTCTCCTTCCTTCCATCACCCAGCCCCATTCTCCTTCCTTCCATCACCTCGCTCCATTCTCCCGCTTTCCATCACCCCGCCTCATTCTTCCGCTTCCCATAACCCCACCCTATTCTCCCGCTTTCCATCACCCCGCCACATTTTCCCACTTTCCATCATCCCGCCCCCTTCTCTCTCCTTCCATCACCCTGCCCCATTCTCCCTCCTTCCATCACCCCGCCCCATTCTTCCGCTTTCCATCACCCGCCCCATTCTCCTGCTTTCCATCACCTCGCCCCATTCTCCCGCTTTCCATCACCCCGCCCCATTGTTTTGCTTTCGATCACCCCGCCCCATTCTCCCGCTTTCCATCACCCTGCCCCATTCACCAGCTTTCCATCACCCGCCCCATTCTCCCGCTTTCCATCACCCCGCCCCATTCTCCCGCTTTCCATCACCCCGCTCCATTCTCCCGCTTTCCATCACCCCGCCCCATTCTCCCGCTTTCCATCACCCCGCCCCATTCTCCCGCTTTCCATCACTCCGGCCCGTTCTCCCGCTTTCCATCACCCCGACCCATTCTCCCACTTTCCATCACCCCGCCCCATTCTCCCTCCTTCCATCACGCTGCCTCATTCTCCCTCCTTCCATCACCCTGCCCCATTCTCCCGCTTTCCATCACCCCGCCCCATTCTCCCGCTTTCCATCACCCTGCCCCAATCTCCCGCTTTCCATCACCGCGCCCCATTCTCCCTCCTTCCATCACCCCGCCCCATTCTCCCGCTTTCCATCACCCCGCCTCATTCTCCCGCTTTCCATCACCCAGCCCCATTCTCCCGCTTTCCATCACCCCGCCCCATTCTCCCGCTTTCCATCACCCCGCCGCATTCTCCCTCTTTCCATCACCCCTCCTCATTCTCCCTCTTTCCATCACCCCGCCCCATTCTCCCTCTTTCCACCACCCTGCTCCATTCTCCCGCTATCCATCACCCCGTCCCATTCTCCCTCTTTCCATCACCCCTCCCCGTTCTCCCGCTTTCCATCACCCCGCCCTATTCTCCGTCTTTCCATCACCCCGCCCCAGTCTCCCACTTTCAATCACCCCGCCCCATTCTCCCGCTTTCCATCACCCCGCCCCATTCTCCCCCTTTCCATCACCCCGCCCCATTCTCCCACTTTCCATCACCCCGCCCCATTCTCCCGATTTCCATCACCCCTCCCCATTGTCCCACTTTCCATCACCCCGCCCCATTCTCCCTCTTTGCATCAGCCCGCCCCATTCTCCCTCTTTCCATCACCCCGCCCCATTCTCCCGCTTTCCATCACCCCGCCCCATTCTCCCGCTTTCCGTCACCCCGCCCCATTCTCCCGCTTTCCATCACCCCGCCCCATTCTCCCACTTTCCATCACCCCGCCCCATTCTCCCGCTTTCCATCACCCCGCCCCATTCTCCCGCTCTCTATCACCCCGCCCCATTCTCCTGCTTTCCATCACCCCGCCCCATTCTCCCGCTCTCCATCACCCCGCCCCATTCTCCCGCTCTCCATCACCTTGCCCCATTCTCCCGCTTTCCATCATCCCGCCCCATTCTCCCACTTTCCATCATCCCGCCCCATTCTCCCTCCTCCCATCACGTCGCCCCATTCTCCCGCTTTCCATCACCCCGCCTCATTCTCCTGCTTTCCATCACCCCGCCCCATTCTCCCTCCTTCCATCACCCTGCCCCATTCGCCCTCCTTCCATCACCCCGGCCCATTCTCCCGCTTTCCATCACCCCGCCCCATTCTCCTGCTTTCCATCACCCCGCCCCATTCTCCCGCTTTCTATCACACCGCCCCATACTCCCTCCTTCCATCACCCCGCCCCATTCTCCCTCCTTCCATCACCCCACCCCATTCTCCTGCTTTCCATCTCCCCGCCCTATTCTTCCGCATTCCATCACCCAGCCCCATTCTCCCGCTTTTCATCACCTCGCCCCATTTTCCTGCTTTCCGTCACCCCGCCCCATTCTCCCGCTATCCATCACCCCGCCCCATTCCCCCGCTTTCCATCACCCCTCCCCATTCTCCCGCTTTCCATCACCCCGCCCCGTTCTCCCGCTATCCATCACCCCGCCCCATTCTCCCGCTTTCAATCACCCCGCCCCATTCTCCCGCTTTCCATCACCCCGCACCATTCTCCCGCTTTCCATCACCCCGCCCCATTCCCCCTCCTTCCATCACCCCGTCCCATTCTCCCGCTTTCCATCACCCCGCCCAATTCTCCCGCTTTCCATCACCACGCCTTATTCTCCCGCTTTCCATCACCCCGCCCCATTCTCCCGCTTTCCATCACCCCGCCCCATTCTCCCGCTTTCCATCACCCCGCCTCATTCTCCCTTCTTCCATCACCTCGCCCCATTCTCCCCCCTTCCATCACCCCGCCCCATTCTCCTGCTTTCCATCACCCCGCCCCATTCTTCCGCATTTCATCACCCAGCCCCATTCTCCCGCTTTCCATCACCCCGCCCCATTTTCCCGCTTTCCGTCACCCCGCCCCATTCTCCCGCTATCCATCACCCCGCCCCATTCCCCCACTTTCCATCACCCCGCCCCATTCTCCCGCTTTCCATCACCCCGCCCCATTCTCCCGCTTTCCATCACCCCGCCCCATTCTCCCGCTTTCCATCACCCCTCCCCATTCTCCTGCTTTCCATCACCCTGCCCCATTCTCCCTCCTTCCATGACCCCGCCCCATTCTCCCTCCTTCCATTACCCCGCCCCATTCTCCCGCTTTCCATCAACCCGCCCCATTCTCCCGCTTTCCATCACCCCGTCGCATTCTCCCGCTTTCCATCACCACGCCCCATTCTCCAGCTTTCCATCACCCCGTCCCATTCTCCCTCTTTCCATCACCCCGCCCCATTCTCCCGCTTTCCATCACCCCGCCCGATTCTCCCGCTTTGCATCACCCCGCCCCATTCTCCCGCTATCCATCACCCCGCCCCATTCTCCCGCTTTCCATCACCCCGCACCATTCTCCCACTTTCCATCACCCCGCACCATTCTCCCGCTTTCCATCACACCGCCCCATTCCCCCTCCTTCCATCACCCCGCCCCATTCTCCCCCTTTCCATCACCCCGCCCAATTCTCCCGCTTTCCATCACCACGCCTTATTCTCCCGCTTTCCATCACCCCGCCCCATTCTCCCGCTTTCCATCACCCCGCCCCATTCTCCCGCTTTCCATCACCCCGCCCCATTCTCCCTTCTTCCATCACCTCGCCCCATTCTCCCTCCTTCCATCACCCCGCCCCATTCTCCTGCTTTCCATCACCCGGCCCCATTCTTCCGCATTTCATCACCCAGCCCCATTCTCCCGCTTTCCATCACCCCGCCCCATTTTCCTGCTTTCCGTCGCCCCGCCCCATTCTCCTGCTATCCATCACCCCGCCCCATTCCCCCACTTTCCATCACCCCGCCCCATTCTCCCGCTTTCCATCACCCCGCCCCATTCTCCCGCTTTCCATCACCCCGCCCCATTCTCCCGCTTTCCATCACCCCTCCCCATTCTCCTGCTTTCCATCACCCTGCCCCATTCTCCCTCCTTCCATGACCCCGCCCCATTCTCCCTCCTTCCATTACCCCGCCCCATTCTCCTCCTTTCCATCACCCCACCCCATTCTCCCGCTTTCCATCACCCCGTCCCATTCTCCAGCTTTCCATCACCCCGTCCCATTCTCCCTCTTTCCATCACCCCGCCCCATTCTCCCTCATTCCATCACCCCGCCCCATTCTCCCGCTTTCCATCACCCCGCCCCATTCTCCCGCTTCCCATAACCCCACCCCATTCTCTCGCTTTCCATCACCCCGCCACATTTTCCCACTTTCCATCACCCCGCCCCCTTCTCTCTCCTTCCATCACCCCGCCCCATTCTCCCTCCTTCCATCACCCCGCCCCATTCTCCCGCTTTCCATCAGCCCGCCCCATTCTCCCGCTTTCCATCACCCCGCCCCATTCTTCCGCTTCCCATCATCCCGCCCCATTCCCCCGCTTTCCATCACCCCTCCCCATTCTCCCTCCTTCCATGACCCCGCCCCATTCTCCCTCCTTCCATTACCCCGCCCCATTCTCCCGCTTTCCATCAACCCGCCCCATTCTCCCGCTTTCCATCACCCCGTCGCATTCTCCCGCTTTCCATCACCACGCCCCATTCTCCAGCTTTCCATCACCCCGTCCCATTCTCCCTCTTTCCATCACCCCGCCCCATTCTCCTGCTTTCCATCACCCCGCCCGATTCTCCCGCTTTCCATCACCCCGCCCCATTCTCCCGCTATCCATCACCCCGCCCCATTCTCCCGCTTTCCATCACCCCGCACCATTCTCCCACTTTCCATCACCCCGCACCATTCTCCCGCTTTCCATCACCCCGCCCCATTCCCCCTCCTTCCATCACCCCGCCCCATTCTCCCTCTTTCCATCACCCCGCCCAATTCTCCCGCTTTCCATCACCACGCCTTATTCTCCCGCTTTCCATCACCCCGCCCCATTCTCCCGCTTTCCATCACCCCGCCCCATTCTCCCGCTTTCCATCACCCCGCCCCATTCTCCCTTCTTCCATCACCTCGCCCCATTCTCCCTCCTTCCATCACCCCGCCCCATTCTCCTGCTTTCCATCACCCGGCCCCATTCTTCCGCATTTCATCACCCAGCCCCATTCTCCCGCTTTCCATCACTCCGCCCCATTTTCCTGCTTTCCGTCGCCCCGCCCCATTCTCCTGCTATCCATCACCCCGCCCCATTCCCCCACTTTCCATCACCCCGCCCCATTCTCCCGCTTTCCATCACCCCGCCCCATTCTCCCGCTTTCCATCACCCCGCCCCATTCTCCCGCTTTCCATCACCCCTCCCCATTCTCCTGCTTTCCATCACCCTGCCCCATTCTCCCTCCTTCCATGACCCCGCCCCGTTCTCCCTCCTTCCATTACCCCGCCCTATTCTCCTCCTTTCCATCACCCCACCCCATTCTCCCGCTTTCCATCACGCCGTCCCATTCTCCAGCTTTCCATCACCCCGTCCCATTCTCCCTCTTTCCATCACCCCGCCCCATTCTCCCTCATTCCATCACCCCGCCCCATTCTCCCGCTTTCCATCACCCCGCCCCATTCTCCCGCTTCCCATAACCCCACCCCATTCTCTCGCTTTCCATCACCCCGCCACATTTTCCCACTTTCCATCACCCCGCCCCCTTCTCTCTCCTTCCATCACCCCGCCCCATTCTCCCTCCTTCCATCACCCCGCCCCATTCTCCCGCTTTCCATCAGCCCGCCCCTTTCTCCCGCTTTCCATCACCCCGCCCCATTCTTCCGCTTCCCATCATCCCGCCCCATTCCCCCGCTTTCCATCACCCCTCCCCATTCTCCCTCCTTCCATCACCCCGCCCCATTCTCCCCCTTTCCATTACCCGCCCCATTCTCCCGCTTTCCATCACCTCGCCCCATTCTCCCGCTTTCCATCACCCCGCCCCATTCTTATGCTTTCCATCACCCCGCCCCATTCTCCCGCATTCCATCACCCTGCCCCATTCACTGCTTTCCATCACCCACCCCATTCTCCCGCTTTCCATCACCCCGCCCCATTCTCCCGCTTTCCATCACCCCGCCCCATTCTCCTGCTTTCCATCACCCCGCCCCATTCTCCCGCTTTCCATCACCCCGCCCCATTCTCCCGCTTTCCATCACTCCGCCCCATTCTCCCGCTTTCCATCACCCCGACCCATTCTCCCACTTTCCATCACCCTGCCCCATTCTCCCTCCTTCCATCACCCCGCCTCATTCTCCCTCCTTCCATCACCCCGCCCCATTCTCCCGCTTTCCATCACCCCGCCCCATTCTCCCGCCTTCCATCACCCAGCCCCATTCTCCCGCTTTCCATCACCCCGCCCCATTTTCCCGCTTTCCATCACCCCGCCCCATTCTCCCGCTTTCCATCACCCTGCCCCAATCTCCCGCTTTCCATCACCCCACCCCATTCTCCCTCCTTCCATCACCCCGCCCCATTCTCCTGCTTTCCATCACCCCGCCCCATTCTCCCGCTTTCCGTCACCCAGCCCCATTCTCCCGCTTTCCATCACCCGGCCCCATTCTCCCGCTTTCCATCACCCCCCCCCCATTCTCCCGCTTTCCATCACCCTGCCCCATTCTCCCTCCTTCCATCACCCCGCCCCATTCTCCCTCCTTCCATCACCCCGCCCCATTCTCCCGCTTTCCATCACCCCGCCCCATTCTCCCGCTTCCCATAACCCCACCCCATTCTCCCGCTTTCCATCACCCCGCCACATTCTCCCGCTTTCTATCACCCCGCCCCATTCTCCCTCCTTCCATCACCCCGCCCCATTCTCCCGCTTTCCATCACCCCGCCCCATTCTCCCGCTTTCCATCACCCCGCCACATTCTCCCACTTTCCATCACCCCGCCCCCTTCTCTCTCCTTCCATCACCCCGCCCCATTCTCCCTCCTTCCATCACCCCGCCCCATTCTCCCGCTTTCCATCAGCCCGCCCCATTCTCCCGCTTTCCATCACCCCGCCCCATTCTCCCGCTTTCCATCTCCCCGCCCCATTCTCCCGCTTTCCATCACCCCGCCCCATTCTCCCGCTTTCCATCACCCCACCCCATTCTTCCGCTTCCCATCATCCCGCCCCATTCCCCCGCTTTCCATCACCCCTCCCTATTCTCCCTCCTTCCATCACCCCGCCCCATTCTCTTGCTTTCCATCACCCCGCCCCATTCTCCCGCTTTCCATCACCCCGCCCCATTCTCCCGCTTTCCATCACCCCGCCCCATTCTCCCTCCTTCCATCACCCCGCCCCATTCTCCCGCTTTCCATTACCCCGCCCCAATCTCCCTCCTTCCATCACCCGGCCCCATTCTCCCTCATTCGATCACCCCGCCCCATTCTCCCGCTTTCCATCACCACGCCCCATTCTCCCGCTTCCCATAACCCCACCCCATTCTCCCACTTTCCATCACCCCGCCCCCTTCTCTCTCCTTCCATCACCCCGCCCCATTCTCCCTCCTTCCATCACCCCGCCCCATTCTCCCGCTTTCCATCACCCCGCCCCATTCTCCCGCTTTCCATCACCCCGCCCCATTCTCCCGCTTTCCATCTCCCCGCCCCATTCTCCCGCTTTCCATCACCCCGCCCCATTCTCCCGCTTTCCATCACCCCGCCCCATTCTTCCGCTTCCATTATCCCGCCCCATTCCCCCGCTTTCCATCACCCCTCCCCATTCTCCCTCCTTCCATCACCCCGCCCCATTCTCTTGCTTTCCATCACCCCGCCCCATTCTCCCGCTTTCCATCACCCCGCCCCATTCTCCCGCTTTCCATCACCCCGCCCCATTCTCCCTCCTTCCATCACCCCGCCCCATTCTCCCGCTTTCCATTACCCCGCCCCAATCTCCCTCCTTCCATCACCCGGCCCCATTCTCCCTCATTCCATCACCCCGCCCCATTCTCCCGCTTTCCATCACCACGCCCCATTCTCCCGCTTCCCATAACCCCACCCCATTCTCCCGCTTTCCATCACCCCGCCACATTTTCCTACTTTCCATCACCCCGCCCCCTTCTCTCTCCTTCCATCACCCCGCCCCATTCTCCCTCCTTCCATCACCCCGCCCTATTCTCCCGCTTTCCATCAGCCCGCCCCATTCTCCCGCTTTCCATCACCCCGCCCCTTTCTCCCGCTTTCCATCTCCCCGCCCCATTCTCCCGCTTTCCATCACCCCGCCCCATTCTCCCGCTTTCCATCACCCCGCCCCATTCTTCCGCTTCCATTATCCCGCCCCATTCCCCCGCTTTCCATCACCCCTCCCCATTCTCCCTCCTTCCATCACCCCGCCCCATTCTCCCCCTTTCCATCAACCGCCCCATTCTCCCGCTTTCCATCACCTCGCCCCATTCTCCCGCTTTCCATCACCCCGCCCCATTCTCCCGCTTTCTATCACCCCGCCCCATTCTCCCGCTTTCCATCACCCTGCCCCATTCTCCCGCTTTCCATCCGGCCCCGTTCTCCCGCTTTCCATCACCCCGCCCCATTCTCCCGCTTTCCATCACTCCGCCCCATTCTCCCGCTTTCCATCACCCCGACTTATTCTCCCACTTTCCATCACCCCGCCCCATTCTCCCGCTTTCCATCACCCCGCCCCATTCTCCCGCTTTCCATCACCCTGCCCCAATCTCCCGCTTTCCATCATCCCACCCCATTCTCCCTCCTTCCATCACCCCGCCCCATTCTCCCACTTTCCATCACCCCGCCCCATTCTCCCGCTTTCCATCACCCAGCCCCATTCTCCCGCTTTCCATCATCCCGCCCCATTCTCCCGCTTTCCATCACCCCGCCCCATTCTCCCTCCTTCCATCACCCCGCCCCATTCTCCCGCTTCCCATAACCCCACCCCCTTCTCCTGCTTTCCATCACCCGCCACATTCTCCCGCTTTCTATCACCCCGCCCCATTCTCCCTCCTTCCATCAACCCGCCCCATTCTCCCGCTTTCCATCACCCCGCCCCATTCTCCCGATTTCCATCACCCCGCCCCATTCTCCCGCTTTCCATCACCCCGCCCCATTCTCCCGCTTTCCATCACCCTGCCCCATTCTCCCGCTTTCCATCATCCCGCACCACTCTCCCTCCTTCCATCACCCCGCCCCATTCTCCCGCTTTCCATCACTCCGCCCCATTCTCCCTCCTTCCATCACCCCGCCCCATTCTCCCTCCTTCCATCACCCCGCCCCATTCTCCCGCTTTCCATCACCCCTCCCCATTCTCCCGCTTCCCATAACCCCACCCCATTCTCCCGCTTTCAATCACCCCGCCACATTCTCCCACTTTCCATCACCCCGCCCCCTTCTCTCTCCTTCCATCACCCCGCCCCATTCTCCCTCCTTCCATCACCCCGCCCCATTCTCCCGCTTTCCATCACCCCGCCCCATTCTCCCGCTTTCCATCACCCAGCCCCATTCTCCCGCTTTCCATCACCCCGCCCCATTCTCCCGCTTTCCATCACCCCGCCCCATTCTTCCGCTTCCATTATCCCGCCCCATTCCCCCGCTTTCCATCACCCCTCCCCATTCTCCCTCCTTCCATCACCCCGCCCCATTCTCCCCCTTTCCATCAACCGCCCCATTCTCCCGCTTTCCATCACCTCGCCCCATTCTCCCGCTTTCCATCACCCCGCCCCATTCTCCCGCTTTCTATCACCCCGCCCCATTCTCCCGCTTTCCATCACCCTGCCCCATTCTCCCGCTTTCCATCCGGCCCCGTTCTCCCGCTTTCCATCACCCCGCCCCATTCTCCCGCTTTCCATCACTCCGCCCCATTCTCCCGCTTTCCATCACCCCGACTTATTCTCCCACTTTCCATCACCCCGCCCCATTCTCCCGCTTTCCATCACCCCGCCCCATTCTCCCGCTTTCCATCACCCTGCCCCAATCTCCCGCTTTCCATCATCCCACCCCATTCTCCCTCCTTCCATCACCCCGCCCCATTCTCCCACTTTCCATCACCCCGCCCCATTCTCCCGCTTTCCATCACCCAGCCCCATTCTCCCGCTTTCCATCATCCCGCCCCATTCTCCCGCTTTCCATCACCCCGCCCCATTCTCCCTCCTTCCATCACCCCGCCCCATTCTCCCGCTTCCCATAACCCCACCCCCTTCTCCTGCTTTCCATCACCCGCCACATTCTCCCGCTTTCTATCACCCCGCCCCATTCTCCCTCCTTCCATCAACCCGCCCCATTCTCCCGCTTTCCATCACCCCGCCCCATTCTCCCGATTTCCATCACCCCGCCCCATTCTCCCGCTTTCCATCACCCCGCCCCATTCTCCCGCTTTCCATCACCCTGCCCCATTCTCCCGCTTTCCATCATCCCGCACCACTCTCCCTCCTTCCATCACCCCGCCCCATTCTCCCGCTTTCCATCACTCCGCCCCATTCTCCCTCCTTCCATCACCCCGCCCCATTCTCCCTCCTTCCATCACCCCGCCCCATTCTCCCGCTTTCCATCACCCCTCCCCATTCTCCCGCTTCCCATAACCCCACCCCATTCTCCCGCTTTCAATCACCCCGCCACATTCTCCCACTTTCCATCACCCCGCCCCCTTCTCTCTCCTTCCATCACCCCGCCCCATTCTCCCTCCTTCCATCACCCCGCCCCATTCTCCCGCTTTCCATCACCCCGCCCCATTCTCCCGCTTTCCATCACCCAGCCCCATTCTCCCGCTTTCCATCACCCCGCCCCATTCTCCCGCTTTCCATCACCCCGCCCCATTCTTCCGCTTCCATTATCCCGCCCCATTCCCCCGCTTTCCATCACCCCTCCCCATTCTCCCTCCTTCCATCACCCCGCCCCATTCTCCCCCTTTCCATCACTCGCCCCATTCTCCCGCTTTCCATCACCTCGCCCCATTCTCCCGCTTTCCATCACCCCGCCCCATTCTCCCGCTTTCCATCACCCCGCCCCATTCTCCCGCTTTCCATCACCCTGCCCCATTCTCCCGCTTTCCATCCGGCCCTGATCTCCCGCTTTCCATCACCCCGCCCCATTCTCCCGCTTTCCATCACTCCGTCCCATTCTCCCGCTTTCCATCACCCCGACTTATTCTCCCACTTTCCATCACCCCGCCCCATTCTCCCTCCTCCCATCACCCCGCCTCATTCTCCCTCCTTCCATCACCCCGCCCCATTCTCCCGCTTTCCATCACCCCGCCCCATTCTTCCGCTTTCCATCACCCCGCCCCATTTTCCCGCTTTCCATCACCCCGCCCCATTCTCCCGCTTTCCATCACCCTGCCCCAATCTCCCGCTTTCCATCACCCCACCCCATTCTCCCTCCTTCCATCACCCCGCCCCATTCTCCCACTTTCCATCACCCCGCCCCATTCTCCCGCTTTCCATCACCCAGCCCCATTCTCCCGCTTTCCATCACCCCGCCCCATTCTCCTGCTTTCCATCACCCCGCCCCATTCTCCCTCCTTCCATCACCCCGCCCCATTATCCCGCTTTCCATCACCCCGCCCCATTCTCCCTCCTTCCATCACCCCGCCCCATTCTCCCTCCTTCCATCACCCCGCCCCATTCTCCCGCTTTCCATCACCCCGCCCCATTCTCCCGCTTCCCATAACCCCACCCCCTTCTCCTGCTTTCCATCACCCGCCACATTCTCCCGCTTTCTATCACCCCGCCCCATTCTCCCTCCTTCCATCAACCCGCCCCATTCTCCCGCTTTCCATCACCCCGCCCCATTCTCCCGATTTCCATCACCCCGCCCCATTCTCCCGCTTTCTATCACCCCGCCCCATTCTCCCGCTTTCCATCACCCTGCCCCATTCTCCCGCTTTCCATCATCCCGCACCATTCTCCCTCCTTCCATCACCCCGCCCCATTCTCCCGCTTTCCATCACTCCGCCCCATTCTCCCTCCTTCCATCACCCCGCCCCATTCTCCCTCCTTCCATCACCCCGCCCCATTCTCCCGCTTTCCATCACCCCGCCCCATTCTCCCGCTTCCCATAACCCCACCCCATTCTCCCGCTTTCCATCACCCCGCCACATTCTCCCACTTTCCATCACCCCGCCCCCTTCTCTCTCCTTCCATCACCCCGCCCCATTCTCCCTCCTTCCATCACCCCGCCCCATCCTCCCGCTTTCCATCACCCTGCCCCATTCTCCCGCTTTCCATCACCCAACCCCATTCTCCCGCTTTCCCTCACCCCGCCCAATTCTCCCGCTTTCCATCACCCCGCCCCTTTCTCTCGCTTTCCATCACCCCGCCCCATTCTCCCTCCTTCCATCACCCCGCCCCATTCTCCCGCTTTCCATCACCCCGCCCCATTATCCCTCCTTCCATCACCCCGCCCCATTCTCCCTCCTTCCATCACCCCGCTTTCCATCACCCCGCCCCATTCTCCCGCTTCCCATAACCCCACCCCCTTCTCCCGCTTTCCATCACCCCGCCACATTCTCCCACTTTCCATCACCCCGCCCCCTTCTCTCTCCTTCCATCACCCCGCCCCATTCTCCCTCCTTCCATCACCCCGCCCCATTCTCCCGCTTTCCTTCACCCCGCCCCATTCTCCTGCTTTCCATCACCCCGCCCCATTCTCCCACTTTCCATCACCCCGCCCCCTTCTCCCTCCTTCCATCACCCCGCCCCATTCTCCCTCCTTGCATCACCCCGCCCCATTCTCCCGCTTTCCATCACCCCGCCCCATTTTCCTGCTTTCCATCACCCTGCCCCAATCTCCCGCTTTCCATCACCCTGCCCCAATCTTCCGCTTTCCATCACCCCGCCCCATTCTCCCTCCTTCCATCACCCCGCCCCATTCTCCCGCTTTCCATCACCCCGCCCCATTCTCCTGCTTTCCATCACCCCGCCCCATTCTCCCACTTTCCATCACCCCGCCCCATTCTCCCGCTTTCAATCACCCCGCCCCATTCTCCCTCCTTCCATCACCCGCCCCATTCTCCCGCTTTCCATCATCCCGCCCCATTCTCCCTCCTTTCATCACCACGCCCCATTCTCCCTCCTTCCATCACCCCGCCCCATTCTCCCGCTTTCCATCACCCCGCCCCATTCTCCCGCTTCCCATAACCCCACCCCATTCTCCCGCTTTCCATCACCCCGCCACATTCTCCGGCTTTCCATCACCCCGTCCCATTCTCCTTCCTTCCATCACCCCGCCCCATTCTCCCGCTTTCCATCACCCCGCCCCATTCTCTTGCTTCCCATAACCCCACCCCATTCTCCCGCTTTCCATCACCCCGCCACATTCTCCGGCTTTCCATCACCCCGTCCCATTCTCCTTCCTTCCATCACCCCGCCCCATTCTCCCTCCTTCCATCACCCCGCCCCATTCTCCCTCCTTCCATCACCCCGCCCCATTCTCCCGCTTTCCATCACCCCGCCCCATTCTCCCACTTTCCATCACCCCGCCCCCTTCTCCCTCCTTCCATCACCCCGCCCCATTCTCCCTCCTTGCATCACCCCGCCCCATTCTCCCGCTTTCCATCATCCCGCCCCATTCTCCCGCTTTTCATCACCCCGCCCCATTTTCCTGCTTTCCATCACCCTGCCCCAATCTCCCGCTTTCCATCACCCTGCCCCAATCTTCCGCTTTCCATCACCCCGCCCCATTCTCCCTCCTTCCATCACCCCGCCCCATTCTCCCGCTTTCCATCACCCCGCCCCATTCTCCCGCTTTCCATCACCCCACCCCATTCTCCCGCTTTCCATCACCCCGCCCCCTTCTCCCTCCTTCCATCACCCCGCCCCATTCTCCCTCCTTGCATCACCCCGCCCCACTCTCCCGCTTTCCATCATCCCGCCCCATTCTCCCGCTTTCCATCACCCCGCCCCATTTTCCTGCTTTCCATCACCCTGCCCCAATCTTCCGCTTTCCATCACCCCGCCCCGTTCTCCCTCCTTCCATCACCCCGCCCCATTCTCCCGCTTTCCATCACCCCGCCCCATTCTCCCGCTTTCCATCACCCCGCCCCATTCTCCCGCTTTCCATCACCCCGCCCCATTCTCCCGCTTTCCATCACCCCGCCCCATTCTCCCTCCTTCCATCACCCCGCCCCATTCTCCCGCTTTCCATCATCCCGCCCCATTCTCCCTCCTTTCATCACCACGCCCCATTCTCCCTCCTTCCATCACCCCGCCCCATTCTCCCGCTTTCCATCACCCCGCCCCATTCTCCCGCTTCCCATAACCCCACCCCATTCTCCCGCTTTCCATCACCCCGCCACATTCTCCGGCTTTCCATCACCCCGTCCCATTCTCCTTCCTTCCATCACCCCGCCCCATTCTCCCTCCTTCCATCACCCCGCCCCATTCTCCCGCTTTCCATCAGCCCGCCCCATTCTCCCACTTTCCATCACCCCGCCCCATTCTCCCGCTTTCCATCACCCTGCCCCATTCTCCCGCTTTCCATCACCCCGCCCCATTCTCCCGCTTTCCATCACCCCGCCCCCTTCTCCCTCCTTCCATCACCCCGCCCCATTCTCCCTCCTTCCATCACCCCGCCCCATTCTTCCACTTTCCATCAGCCCGCCCCGTTCTCCCGCTTTCCATCACCCCTCCCCTTTCTCCCGCTTTCCATCTCCCCGCCCCATTCTCCCGCTTTCCATCACCCCGCCCCATTCTCCCGCTTTCCATCACCCCGCCCCATTCTTCCGCTTCCCATCATCTCGCACCATTCCCCCGCTTTCCATCACCCCTCCCTATTCTCCCTCCTTCCATCACCCTGCCCCATTCTCTCGCTTTCCATCACCCTGCCCCATTCTCCCGCTTTCCATCACGCCGCCCCATTCTCACACTTTCCATCACCCCGCCCCATTCTCCCTCCTTCCATCACCCCGCCCCATTCTCCCGCTTTCCATCACCCCGCCCCATTCTCCTTTCTTCCATCACCCCGCCCCATTCTCCCTCATTCCATTACCCCTCCCCATTCTCCCGCTTTCCATCACCCCGCCCCATTCTCCCGCTTCCCATAACTCCACCCCATTCTCCCGCTTTCCATCACCCCGCCACATTTTCCCACTTTCCATCATCCCGCCCCCTTCTCTCTCCTTCCATCACCCCGCCCCATTCTCCTTCCTTCCATCACCCCGCCCCATTCTCCAGCATTCCATCAGCCCGCCCCATTCTCCCGCTTTCCATCACCCCGCCCCTTTCTCCCGCTTTCCATCTCCCCGCACCATTCTCCCGCTCTCCATCACCCCGCCCCATTCTCCCGCTTTCCATCACCCCGCCCCATTCTTCCGCTTCCCATCATCCCGCCCCATTCCACCGCTTTCCATCACCCCTCCCCATTCTCCCTCCTTCCATCACCACGCCCCATTCTTCCGCTTTCCATCACCCGCCCCATTCTCCCGCTTTCCATCACCTCGCCCCATTCTCCCGCTTTCCATCACCTCGCCCCATTCTTTTGCTTTCCATCACCCCGCCCCATTCTCCCGCTTTCCATCACCCTGCCCCATTCACCCGCTTTCCATCACCCGCCCCATTCTCCCGCTTTCCATCACCCTGCCCCATTCTCCCGCTTTCCATCTGCCCGCTCCATTCTCCCGCTTTCCATCACCCCGCCCCATTCTCCCGCTTTCCATCACCCCGCCCCATTCTCCCGCTTTCCATCACTCCGACCCATTCTCCCGCTTTCCATCACCCCGACCCATTCTCCCACTTTCCATAACCCCGCCCCATTCTCCCTCCTTCCATCACCCTGCCTCATTCTCCCTCCTTCCATCACCCCGCCCCATTCTCCCGCTTTCCATCACCTCACCCCATTCTCCCGCTTTCCATCACCCAGCCCCATTCTTTCGCTTTCCATCACCCCGCCCCATTTTCCCGCTTTCCATCACCCCGCCCCATTCTCCCGCTTTCCATCACCCTGCCCCAATCTCCCGCTTTCCATCACCCTGCCCCATTCTCCCTCCTTCCATCACCCCGCCCCATTCTCCCGCTTTCCATCATCCCGCCCCATTCTCCTGCTTTCCATCACCCAGCCCCATTCTCCCGCTTTCCATCACCCCACCCCATTCTCCCGCTTTCCATCACCCCACCCCATTCTCCCTCCTTCCATCACCCCGCCCCATTCTCCCACCTTCCATCACCCCGCCCCATTCTCCCGCTTTCCATCACCCCGCCCCATTCTCCCTCCTTCCATCACCCCGCCCCATTCTCCCTCCTTCCATCACCCCACCCCATTCTCCCGCTTTCCATCACCCCGCCCCATTCTCCCGCTTCCCATAACCCCACCCCATTCTCCCGCTTTCCATCACCCCGCCACATTCTCCCGCTTTCTATCACCCCGCCCCATTCTCCCTCCTTCCATCACCTCGCCCCATTCTCCCGCTTTCCATCAACCCGCCCAATTCTCCTGATTTCCATCACCCCGCCCCATTCTCCCGCTTTCCATCACCCCGCCCCATTTTTCGCTTTCCATCACCCCGCCCCATTCTCCCGCTTTCCATCATCCCGCCCCATTCTCCCTCCTTCCATCACCCCGCCCCATTCTTCCGCTTCCCATCATCCCGCCCCATTCCCCCGCTTTCCATCACCCCTCCCCATTCTCCCTCCTTCCATCACCCCGCCCCATTCTCTCGCTTTCCATCACCCCGCCCCATTCTCCCGCTTTCCATCACCCCGCCCCATTTTCCCGCTTTCCATCACTCCGCCCCATTATCCTTCCTTCCATCACCCCGCCCCATTCTCCCTCCTTCCATCACCCCGCCCCATTCTCCTGCTTTCCATCACCCCGCCTCATTCTCCCGCTTCCAATAACCCCACCCCATTTTCCCGCTTTCCATCACCCCGCCACATTCTCCCACTTTCAATCACCCCGCCCCCTTCTCTATCCTTCCATCAACCCGCCCCATTCTCCCTCCTTCCATCACCCCGCCCCATTCTCCCGCTTTCCATCAGCCCGCCCCATTCTCCCGCTTTCCATCACCCCTCCCCTTTCTCCCGCTTTCCATCTCCCCGCCCCATTCTCCCGCTTTCCATCACCCCGCCCCATTCTCCCGCTTTCCATCACCCCGCCCCATTCTTCCGCTTCCCATCATCTCGCCCCATTCCCCCGCTTTCCATCACCCCTCCCCATTCTCCCTCCTTCAATCACCCCGCCCCATTCTCTCGCTTTACATCACCCCGCCCCATTCTCCCGCTTTCCATCACGCCGCCCCATTCTCCCGCTTTCCATCACCCCGCCCCATTCTCCCTCCTTCCATCACCCCGCCCCATTCTCCCGCTTTCCATCACCCCGCCCCATTCTCCCTCCTTCCATCACCTCGCCCCATTCTCCCTCATTCCATCACCCCGCCCCGATCTCCCGCTTTCCATCACCCCGCCCCATTCTCCCGCTTCCCATAACCCCACCCCATTCTCACGCTTTCCATCACCCCGCCACATTTTCCCACTTTCCATCACCCCGCCCCCTTCTCTCTCCTTCCATCACCCCGCCCCATTCTCCCTCCTTCCATCACCCTGCCCCATTCTCCCGCTTTCCATCAGCCCGCCCCATTCTCCCGCTTTCCATCATCCCGCCCCTTTCTCCCGCTTTCCATCTCCCCGCCCCATTCTCCTGCTTTCCATCACCCCGCCCCATTCTCCCGCTTTCCATCACCCCGCCCCATTCTTCCGCTTCCCATCATCCCGCCCCATTCCACCGCTTTCCATCACCCCTCCCCATTCTCCCTCCTTCCATCACCCTGCCCCATTCTCTCGCTTTCCATCACCCCGCCCCATTCTTCCGCTTTCCATCACCCGCCCCATTCTCCCGCTTTCCACCACCTCGCCCCATTTTCCCGCTTTCCATCACTCCGCCCCATTCTTCTGCTTTCCATCACCCCGCCCCATTCTCCCGCTTTCCATCACCCCGCCCCATTCTCCCTCCTTCCATCACCCCGCCCCATTCTCCCTCCTTCCATCACCCCGCCCCATTCTCCCGCTTTCCATCACCCCGCCACATTCTCCCGCTTTCTATCACCCCGCCCCATTCTCCCTCCTTCTATCACCCCGCCCCATTCTCCCGCTTTCCACCACCCCGCCCTATTCTCCCGATTTCCATCACCCCGCCCCATTCTCCCGCTTTCCATCATCCCGCCCCATTCTCCCTCCTTCCATCACCCCGCCCCATTCTCCCGCTTTCCATCACTCCGCCCCATTCTCCCTCCTTCCATCACCCCGCCCCATTCTCCCTCCTTCCATCACCCCGCCCCATTCTCCCGCTTTCCATCACCCCGCCCCAATCTCCTGCTTCCCATAACCCCACCCCATTTTCCCGCTTTCCATCACCCCGCCACATTCTCCCACTTTCCATCACCCCGCCCCCTTCTCTCTCCTTCCATCACCCCGCCCCATTCTCCCTCCCTCCATCACCCCGCCCCATTCTCCCGCTTTCCATCAGCCCGCCCCATTCTCCCGCTTTCCATCACCCCTCCCCTTTCTCCCGCTTTCCATCTCCCCGCGCCATTCTCCCGCTTTCCATCACCCCGCCCCATTCTCCCGCTTTCCATCACCCCGCCTCATTCTTCCGCTTCCCATCATCCCGCCCCATTCCCCCGCTTTCCATCACCCCTCCCCATTCTCCCTCCTTCCATCACCCTGCCCCATTCTCTCGCTTTCCATCACCCCGCCCCATTCTCCCGCTTTCCATCACGCCGCCCCATTCTCCTGCTTTCCATCACCCCGCCCCATTCTCCCTCCTTCCATCACTCCGCCCCATTCTCCCGCTTTCCATCACCCCGCCCCATTCTCCTTTCTTCCATCACCCCGCCCCATTCTCCCTCATTCCATTACCCCGCCCTATTCTCCCGCTTTCCATCACCCCGCCCCATTCTCCCGCTTCCCATAACCCCACCCCATTCTCCCGCTTTCCATCACCCCGCCACATTTTCCCACTTTCCATCACCCCGCCCCCTTCTCTCTCCTTCCATAACCCCGCCTCATTCTCCTTCCTTCCCTCACCCCGCCCCATTCTCCCGCTTTCCATCAGCCCGCCCCATTCTCCCGCTTTCCATCACCCCGCTTCTTTCTCCCGCTTTCCATCTCCCCGCCCCATTCTCCCACTTTCCATCACCCCGCCCCATTCTCCCGCTTTCCATCACCCCGCCCCATTCTTCCGCTTCCCATCATCCCGCCCCATTCCACCACTTTCCATCAACCCTCCCCATTCTCCCTCCTTCCATCACCCCGCCCCATTCTTCCGCTTTCGATCACCCGCCCCATTCTCCCGCTTTCCATCACATCGCCCCATTCTCCCGCTTTCCATCACCCCGCCCCATTCTTTTGCTTTCCATCACCCCGCCCCATTCTCCCGCTTTCCATCACCCTGCCCCATTCACCCGCTTTCCATTACCCGCCCCATTCTCCCGCTTTCCATCACCCCGCCCCATTCTCCCGCTTTCCATCACACCGCTCCATTCTCTCGCTTTCCATCACCCCGCCCCATTCTCCCGCTTTCCATCACCCCGCCCCATTCTCCCGCTTTGCATCACTCCGACCCATTCTCCCGCTTTCCATCACCCCGACCCATTCTCCCACTTTCCATCACCCCAGCCCCATTCTCCCTCCTTCCATCACCCCGCCTCATTCTCCCTCCTTCCATCACCCCGCCCCTTTCTCCCGCTTTCCATCACCTCGCCCCATTCTCCCGCTTTCCATCACCCAGCCCCATTCTCCCGCTTTCCATCACCCCGCCCCATTTTCCCGCTTTCCATCACCCCGCCCCATTCTCCCGCTTTCCATCACCCTGCCCCAATCTCCCGCTTTCCATCACCCCGCCCCATTCTCCCTCCTTCCATCACCCCGCCCCATTCTCCCGCTTTCCATCACCCCGCCCCATTCTCCTGCTTTCCATCACCCAGCCCCATTCTCCCGCTTTCCATCACCCCGCCCCATTCTCCCGCTTTCCATCACCCCACCCCATTCTCCCTCCTTCCATCACCCTGCCACATTCTCCCTCCTTCCATCACCCCGCCTCATTCTCCCTCCTTCCATCACCCCGCCCCTTTCTCCCGCTTTCCATCACCTCGCCCCATTCTCCCGCTTTCCATCACCCAGCCCCATTCTCCCGCTTTCCATCACCCCGCCCCATTTTCCCGCTTTCCATCACCCCGCCCCATTCTCCCGCTTTCCATCACCCTGCCCCAATCTCCCGCTTTCCATCACCCCGCCCCATTCTCCCTCCTTCCATCACCCCGCCCCATTCTCCCGCTTTCCATCACCCCGCCCCATTCTCCTGCTTTCCATCACCCAGCCCCATTCTCCCGCTTTCCATCACGCCGCCCCATTCTCCTGCTTTCCATCACCCCGCCCCATTCTCCCTCCTTCCATCACCCCGCCCCATTCTCCCGCTTTCCATCACCCCGCCCCATTCTCCTTTCTTCCATCACCCCGCTCCATTCTCCCTCATTCCATTACCCCGCCCCATTCTCCCGCTTTCCATCACCCCGCCCCGTTCTCCCGCTTCCCATAACCCCACCCCATTCTCCCGCTTTCCATCACCCCACCACATTTTCCCACTTTCCATCACCCCGCCCCCTTCACTCTCCTTCCATAACCCCGCCCCATTCTTTTTCCTTCCATCACCCCGCCCCATTCTCCCGCTTTCCATCAGCCCGCCCCATTCTCCCGCTTTCCATCACCCCGCTTCTTTCTCCCGCTTTCCATCTCCCCGCCCCATTCTCCCGCTTTCCATCACCCCGCCCCATTCTCCCGCTTTCCATCACCCCGCCCCATTCTTCCGCTTCCCATCATCCCGCCCCATTCCACCACTTTCCATCACCCCTCCCCATTCTCCCTCCTTCCATCACCCCGCCCCATTCTTCCGCTTTCCATCACCCGCCCCATTCTCCCGCTTTCCATCACCTCGCCCCATTCTCCCGCTTTCCATCACCCCGCCCCATTCTTTTGCTTTCCATCACCCCGCCCCATTCTCCCGCTTTCCATCACCCTGCCCCATTCACCCGCTTTCCATTACCCGCCCCATTCTCCCGCTTTCCATCACCCCGCCCCTTTCTCCCGCTTTCCATCACCCCGCTCCATTCTCCCACTTTCCATCACCCCGCCCCATTCTCCCGCTTTCCATCACCCCGCCCCATTCTCCCGCTTTCCATCACTCCGACCCATTCTCCCGCTTTCCATCACCCCGCCCCATTCTCCCTCCTTCCATCACCCCGCCTCATTCTCCCTCCTTCCATCACCCCGCCCCTTTCTCCCGCTTTCCATCACCTCACCCCATTCTCCCGCTTTCCATCACCCAGCCACATTCTCCCGCTTTCCATCACCCCGCCCCATTTTCCCGCTTTCCATCACCCCGCCCCATTCTCCCGCTTTCCATCACCCTGCCCCAATCTCCCGCTTTCCATCACCCCGCCCCATTCTCCCTCCTTCCATCACCCCGCCCCATTCTCCCGCTTTCCATCACCCCGCCCCATTCTCCTGCTTTCCATCACCCAGCCCCATTCTCCCGCTTTCCATCACCCCGCCCCATTCTCCCGCTTTCCATCACCCCACCCCATTCTCCCTCCTTCCATCACCCTGCCCCATTCTCCCTCCTTCCATCACCCTGCCCCATTCTCCCGCTTTCCATCACTCCGACCCATTCTCCCACTTTCCATCACCCCGCCCCATTCTCCCTCCTTCCATCACCCCGCCTCATTCTCCCTCCTTCCATCACCCCGCCCCTTTCTCCCGCTTTCCATCACCTCGCCCCATTCTCCCGCTTTCCATCGCCCAGCCCCATTCTCCCGCTTTCCATCACCCCGCCCCATTTTCCCGCTTTCCATCACCCCGCCCCATTCTCCCGCTTTCCATCACCCTGCCCCAATCTCCCGCTTTCCATCACCCCGCCCCATTCTCCCTCCTTCCATCACCCCGCCCCATTCTCCCGCTTTCCATCACCCCGCCCCATTCTCCTGCTTTCCATCACCCAGCCCCATTCTCCCGCTTTCCATCACCCCGCCTCATTCTCCCGCTTTCCATCACCCCACCCCATTCTCCCTCCTTCCATCACCCTGCCCCATTCTCCCTCCTTCTATCACCCCGCCCCATTCTCCCGCTTTCCATCACCCCGCCCCATTCTCCCTCCTTCCATCACCCCGCCCCATTCTCCCTCCTTCCATCACCCCGCCCCATTCTCCCGCTTTCCATCACCCCGCCCCATTCTCCCGCTTCCCATAACCCCACCCCATTCTCCTGCTTTCCATCACCCCGCCACATTCTCCCGCTTTCCATCACCCCGCCCCATTCTCCCGCTTTCCATCACCCCGCCACATTCTCCCGCTTTCCATCACCCCGCCCCCTTCTCTCTCCTTCCATCACCCCGCCCCATTCTCCCTCCTTCCATCATCCCGCCCCATTCTCCCGCTTTCCATCAGCCCGCCCCATTCTCCCGCTTTCCATCACCCTGCCCCATTCTCCCGCTTTCCATCTCCCCGCCCCATTCTCCCGCTTTCCATCACCCCGCCCCATTCTCCCGCTTTCCATCACCCCGCCCCATTCTTCCGCTTCCCATCATCCCACCCCATTCCCCCGCTTTCCATCAACCCTCCCCATTCTCCCTCCTTCCATCACCCCGCCCCATTCTCCCTCCTTCCATCACCCCACCCCATTCTCCCGCTTTCCATCACCCCGCCCCATTCTCCCGCTTCCCATAACCCCACTCCATTCTCCCGCTTTCCATCACCCCGCCACATTCTCCCACTTTCTATCACCCCGCCCCATTCTCCCTCCTTCCATCACCCCGCCCCATTCTCCCGCTTTCCATCACCCCGCCCCATTCTCCCGATTTCCATCACCCCGCCCCATTCTCCCGCTTTCCATCACCCCGCCCCATTCTCCCGCTTTCCATCACCCCGCCCCATTCTCCAGCTTTCCATCATCCCGCCCCATTCTTCCGCCTCCCATCATCCCGCCCCATTCCCCCGCTTTCAGTCACCCCTCCCCATTCTCCCTCCTTCCATCACCCCGCCCCATTCTCTCGCTTTCCATCACCCCGCCCCATTCTCCCGCTTTACATCACCCCGCCCCATTCTCCCGCTTTCCATCACTCCGCCCCATTATCCCTCCTTCCATCATCCCGCCCCATTCTCCCTCCTTCCATCACCCCGCCCCATTCTCCCGCTTTCCATCACCCCGCCTCATTCTCCCGCTTCCCATAACCCCACCCCATTCTCCCGCTTTCCATCACCCCGCCATATTCTCCCACTTTCTATCACCCCGCCCCCTTCTCTCTCCTTCCATCACCCCGCCCCATTCTCCCTCCTTCCATCACCCTGCCCCATTCTCCCGCTTTCCATCAGCCCGCCCCATTCTCCGCTTTCCATCACCCCTCCCCTTTCTCCCGCTTTCCATCTCCCCGCCCCATTCTCCCGCTTTCCATCACCCCGCCCCATACTCCTGCTTTCCATCACCCCGCCCCATTCTTCCGCTTCCCATCATCCCGCCCCGTTCCCCCGCTTTCCATCACCCCTCCCCATTCTCCCTCCTTCCATCACCCCGCCCCATTCTCTCGCTTTCCATCACCCCGCCCCATTCTCCCGCTTTCCATCACCCCGACCCATTCTCCCGCTTTCCATCACCCCGCCCCATTCTTCCTCCTTCCATCACCCCGCCCCATTCTCCCGCTTTCCATCACCCCGCCCCATTCTCCCTCCTTCCATCACCCCGCCCCATTCTCCCTCATTCCATCACCCTGCCCCATTCTCCCGCTTTCCATCACCCCGCCCCATTCTCCCGCTTCCCATAACCCCACCCCATTCTCCCGCTTTCCATCACCCCGCCACATTTTCCCACTTTCCATCACCCCGCCCCCTTCTCTCTCCTTCCATCACCTTGCCCCATTCTCCCTCCTTCCATCAACCCGCCCCATTCTCCCGCTTTCCATCAGCCCGCCCCATTCTCCCGCTTTCCATTACCCCGCCCCTTTCTCCCGCTTTCCATCTCCCTGCCCCATTCTCCCGCTTTCCATCACCCCGCCCCATTCTCCCGCTGTCCATCACCCAGCCCCATTCTCCCGCTTTCCATCACCCCGCCCCATTCTCCCGCTTTCCATCACCCAGCCCGATTCTCCCGCTTTCGATCACCCCGCCCCATTTTCCCGCTTTCCATCACCCCGCCCCATTCTCCCGCTTTCCATCACCCCACCCCATTCTCCCTCCTTCTATCACCCTGCCCCATTCTCCCGCTTTCCATCACCCCGCCCCATTCTCCCGCTTTCCATCACCCAGCCTCATTCTCCCGCTTTCCATCACCCCGCCCCATTCTCCCGCTTTCCATCACCCCGCCCCATTCTCCCGCTTTCCATCACCCCGCCCCATTCTCCCTCCTTCCATCTCCCCGCCCCATTCTCCCGCTTTCCATCACCCCGTCCCATTCTCCCTCCTTCCATCACCCCGCCCCATTCTCCCTCCTTCCATCACCCCGCCCCATTCTCCCTCATTCCATCACCCTGCCCCATTCTCCCGCTTTCCATCACCCCGCCCCATTCTCCCGCTTCCCATAACCCCACCCCATTCTCCCGCTTTCCATCACCCCGCCACATTTTCCCACTTTCCATCACCCCGCCCCCTTCTCTCTCCTTCCATCACCTCGCCCCATTCTCCCTCCTTCCATCAACCCGCCCCATTCTCCTGCTTTCCATCAGCCCGCCCCATTCTCCCGCTTTCCATTACCCCGCCCCTTTCTCCTGTTTTCCATCTCCCTGCCCCATTCTCCCGCTTTCCATCACCCCGTCCCATTCTCCCGCTTTCCATCACCCAGCCCCATTCTCCCGCTTTCCATCACCCCGCCCCATTCTCCCGCTTTCCATCACCCAGCCCCATTCTCCCGCTTTCCATCACCCCGCCCCATTTTCCCGCTTTCCATCACCCCGCCCCATTCTCCCGCTTTCCATCACCCTGCCCCATTCTCCCGCTTTCCATCACCCCACCCCATTCTCCCTCCTTCCATCACCCCGCCCCATTCTCCCGCTTTCCATCACCCTGCCCCATTCTCCCGCTTTCCATCACCCAGCCTCATTCTCCCGCTTTCCATCACCCCGCCCCATTCTCCCGCTTTCCATCACCCCGCCCCATTCTCCCGCTTTCCATCACCCCGCCCCATTCTCCCTCCTTCCATCTCCCCGCCCCATTCTCCAGCTTTCCATCACCCCGTCCCATTCTCCCTCCTTCCATCACCCCGCCCCATTCTCCCTCCTTCCATCACCCCGCACCATTCTCCCGCTTTCCATCAGCCCGCCCCATTCTCCCGCTTCCCATAACCCCACCCCCTTCTCCCGCTTTCCATCACCCCGCCACATTCTCCCGCTTTCTATCACCCCGCCCTATTCTCCCTCCTTCCATCACCCCGCCCCATTCTCCCGCTTTCCATCACCCCGCCCCATTCTCCTGCTTTCCATCATCCCGCCCCATTCTCCCTCCTTCCATCACCCCGCCCCATTCTCCCGCTTTCCATCACTCCGCCCCATTCTCCCTCCTTCCATCACCCCGCCCCATTCTCCCTCCTTCCATCACCCCGCCCCATTCTCCCGCTTTCCATCACCCCGCCCCATTCTCCCGCTTCCCATAACCCCACTCCATTCTCCCGCTTTCCATCACCCCGCCACATTCTCCCGCTTTCTATCACCCCGCCCCATTCTCCCTCCTTCCATCACCCCGCCCCATTCTCCCGCTTTCCATCACCCCGCCCCATTCTCCCGCTTTCCATCACCCCGCCCCATTCTCCCGCTTTCCATCATCCCGCCCCATTCTCCCTCCTTCCATCACCCCACCCCATTCTTCCGCTTCCCATCATTACGCCCCATTCCCCCGCTTTCCATCACCCCTCCCCATTCTCCCTCCTTCCATCACCCCGCCCCATTCTCTCGCTTTCCATCACCCCGCCCCTTTCTCCGGCTTTCCATCACCCCGCCCCATTCTCCCGCTTTCCATCACTCCGCCCCATTATCCCTCCTTCCATCACCCCGCCCCATTCTCACTCCTTCCATCACCCCGCCCCATTCTCCCGCTGTCCATCACCCCGCCTCATTCTCCCGCTTCCCATCAGCCCGCCACATTCTCCCACTTTCTATCACCCCGCCCCCTTCTCTCTCCTTCCATCACCCCGCCCCATTCTCCCTCCTTCCATAACCCTGCCCCATTCTCCCGCTTTCCATCAGCCCGCCCCATTCTCCTGCTTTCCATCACCCCTCCCCTTTCTCCCGCTTTCCATCTCCCCGCCCCATTCTCCCGCTTTCCATCACCCCGCCCCATTCTTCTGCTTTCCATCACCCCGCCCCATTCTTCCGCTTCCCATCATCCCGCCCCATTCTCCCGCTTTCCATCACCCCTCCCCATTCTCCCTCCTTCCATCACCCCGCCCCATTCTCTCGTTTTCCATCACCCCGCCCCATTCTCCTGCTTTCCATCACCCCGACCCATTCTCCCGCTTTCCATCACCCCGCCCCATTCTCCCTCCTTCCATCACCCCGCCCCATTCTCCCCCTTTCCGTCACCCCGCCCCATTCTCCCTCCTTCAATCACCCTGCCCCATTCTCCCTCATTCCATCACCCTGCCCCATTCTCCCGCTTTCCATCACCCCGCCCCATTCTCCGGCTTCCCATAACCCCACCCCATTCTCCCTCTTTCCATCACCCCGCCACATTTTCCCACTTTCCATCACCCCGCCCCCTTCTCTCTCCTTCCATCACCCCGCCCTATTCTCCCTCCTTCAATCAACCCGCCCCATTCTCCCGCTTTCCATCAGCCCGCCCCATTCTCCCGCTTTCCATCACCCCGCCCCTTTCTCCAGCTTTCCATCTCCCTGCCCCATTCTCCCTCCTTCCATCAACCCGCCCCATTCTCCCGCTTTCCATCAGCCCACCCCATTCTCCCGCTTTCCATCACCCCGCCCCATTCTCCCGCTTTCACTCACCCAGCCCCATTCTCCCGCTTTCCATCACCCCGCCCCATTCTCCCTCCTTCCATCACCCCGCCCCATTCTCCCGCTTTCCATCACCCCATCCCATTCTCCCTCCTTCCATCACCCCGCCCCATTCTCCCTCCTTCCATCACCCCGCCCCATTCTCCCGCTTTCCATCAGCCCGCCCCATTCTCCCGCTTCCCATAACCCCACCCCCGTCTCCCGCTTTCCATCACCCCGCCACATTCTCCTGCTTTCTATCACCTCGCCCCATTCTCCCTCCTTCCATCACCCTGCCCCATTCCCCGCTTTCCATCACCCCGCCCCATTCTCCCGCTTTCCATCATCCCGCCCCATTCTCCCTACTTCCATCACCCCGCCCCATTCTCCCGCTTTCCATCACTCCGCCCCATTCTTCCTCCTTCCATCACCCCGCCCCATTCTCCCTCCTTCCATCACCCCGCCCCATTCTCCCGCTTTCCATCACCCCGCCCCATTCTCCTGCTTCCCATAACCCCACCCCATTCTCCCGCTTTCCATCACCCCGCCACATTTTCCCACTTTCCATCACCCCGCCCCCTTCTCTCTCCTTCCATCACCCCGCCCCATTCTCCCTCCTTCCATCACCCCGCCCCATTCTCCTGCTTTCCATCAGCCCGCCCCATTCTCCCGCTTTCCATCACCCCGCCCCTTTCTCCCGCTTTCCATCTCCCCGCCCCATTCTCCCGCTTTCCATCACCCTGCCCCATTCTCCCGCTTGCCATCACCCCTCCCCATTCTTCCGCTTCCCATCATCCCGCCCCTTTTCCCCGCTTCCCATCACCCCGCCCCATTCTCCCTCCTTCCATCACCCCGCCCCATTCTCCCGCTTTCCATCACACGCCCCATTCTCCCGCTTTCCATCACCCCGCCTCAATCTTTTGCTTTCCATCACCCCGCCCCAATCTCCCGCTTTCCATCACCCTGCCCCATTCACCCGCTTTCCATCACCCGCCCCATTCTCCCGCTTTCCATCACCCCGCCCATTCTCCCGCTTTCCATCACCCCGCCCCATTCTCCCGCTTTCCATCACCCCGCCCCATTCTCCCGCTTTCCATCACCCCGCCCCATTCTCCCGCTTTCCATCACTCCGCCCCATTCTCCCGCTTTCCATCACCCCGACCCATTCTCCCACTTTCCATCACCCCGCCCCCTTCTCCCTCCTTCCATGACCCCGCCCCATTCTCCCTCCTTCCATCACCCCGCCCCATTCTCCCGCTTTCCATCACCCCGCCCCATTCTCCCGCTTTCCATCACCCCGCCTCATTCTCCCGCTTTCCATCACCCCGCCCCATTCTCCCTCCTTCCATCACCCCGCCCCATTCTCCTGCTTTCCATCACCCCGCCCCATTCTCCCTCCTTCCATCACCCCGCCCCATTCTCCCTCCTTCCATCACCCCGCCCCATTCTCCCGCTTTCCATCACCCCGCCCCATTCTCCCGCTTCCCATAACCCCACCCCATTCTCCCGCTTTCCTTCAACCCGCCCCATTCTCCCGTTTTCCATCACCCCGCCCCATTCTCCCGCTTTCCATCACCCCGACTCATTCTCCCGCTTTCCATCACCCCGCCCCATTCTCCCGCTTTCCATCATCCCGCCCCATTCTCCCTCCTTCCATCACCCCGCCCCATTCCCCCGCTTTCCATCACTCCGCCCCATTCTCCCTCCTTCCATCACCCCACCCCATTCTCCCTCCTTCCATCACCCCGCCCCATTCTCCCGCTTTCCATCACCCCGCCCCATTCTCCCGCTTCCCATAACCCCACCCCATTCTACCGCTTTCCATCACCCCGCCACATTCTCCCACTTTCCATCACCCCGCCCCCTTCTCTCTCCTTCCATCACCCCGCCCCATTCTCCCTCCTTCCATCACCCCGCCCCATTCTCCCGCTTTCCATCACCCCGCCCCATTCTCCCGCTTTCCATCACCCCTCCCCTTTCTCCCGCTTTCCATCTCCCTGCCCCATTCTCCCGCTTTCCATCACCCCGCCCCATTCTCCCGCTTTCCATCA